TCCAATCCCTAACGTTCTGTGATTCTGTACCTTGGTCTTCCTGATCATCTGGATGGAGATCTTGTCATATATGCCAAAGATTTTTTTCCATCTTCCACATCAACACATGCTGGAGTCCAGTGCTGACATGGAGTTATCATTTGGCAGGCACCCGCACCTAGACCTGGGAACTGGGCAGTTCTCCTAATCTGTTAAAGTAGGTCTAGTCATGGAGATTAGCTTTCACTTTGAAAATGACTTTGCTACCATCGAGGACTTTTATAGGGAACAGGCCTGTGGGTCTTTTTTCTGAGCGAATGTGTCAGTCTTCAGCAGAGAAGTGTTGATTTAGATCTTTTTCAGTTTCTGAAATCACTTGTAATATTGAACATCTGCCCAAAAAACTTCAGCTCTTCTGTTCCAGTAGATAATAGCTAGAAACAGTAAAGCAGTGTCAAGTATTTGGTCCAAAATGAACGTTACGATGAGAAAATTCTGACCTAACTCAACTAGGGAGCTGAAATCCAATGGCTAGAGAGAAAAAATTGTGGTTTTTTTATCTTCAGGGAAGCAGAATTATAGGCAGGGAATAATGCCTTACAGTTTTCTCAGCTTCTTCCTTTACCTTATCTGCTTGTATAATGAGTATTTAAAGAAACAACTTGAAAAGAGAGGACACTCTTTAATGATTATTTGTTGTTCTGCATGAGAACACATCCTCTGCATAATTATTTTAAAACTGCCTTTTCCTGGGATACGTCATAAGACTCTGGGTGGTGTGTCTTTGAGACTAAGTGCTGTCTAGGAGAAGAGTAGGAGTTGACATGCCTTTTGTATGCTGATAAATGCCACTGTGCTTGTACTAGGTGGAACACAAATTTGCAAAAAGCAGGAAAATTGCCTATAACAAACAGTAAAAGGTTTCTGATGTTTTGGAGAGAGGAAATATTTCTAGCTTTAGTGGCTTAGAAAATTATGACTTTGCTCTCATGTCAAGCTTCTGAGACAGCTGGAGTGGGCGCAGCAATGCACCCAAAAGCGTGCTCTTCTGCCCTGGTTGGAGCAACTACACCTGGCACATCGGAGGCTGGCCCAGACAGAGCTCCAGAGGTGGGGTTGATGTTGGGCTGCAGAGAGGTACTGGTACTTTTCCCTCTAGAAGAGGAGGAGGGCAGGGTGATGGCCTCATCTGTTGGGTTCTGCTGTGGTCAAGGTGCTGGGCTGCCAGGTGAAGCAACTGCAGATGAGCAGGCTGCATAACCGTATGGAAGAAGGGACAGCTAGAAGCTGTGCTCAAATAAGTGGTGGATAGAGACTCTTCAGAGGATGAAGGCGGGAAGCTTGTGACTGCTGGCAGCAGAAGGCAGGTTTGTTCTCTGCCTGCAGATGTCCGTTTGTGGGGTAGGTGTAGTGCTGTGGTAACAGATGAGGAAGAACAAGCTCTGCCAGGGAAGGTGTTGGAGCCAGATGAGACTGAAGTGTTGTGAGCACTGGGAGGAAGAGATGGGTGATAATGGCTGGAGGCTCCCTCCTGTGGGGGATGGAAGGACCCATCTGCCATCTTGGCTTGGTGTCTTGAGAGGTTTGTCACTTGCTGGAGACTCAGACCTAGGGTATTGTGGAAAATTTAGGAGGCTCTCAACAGTTCTTATGTTAAAGCAACATGACTGGGAGCCCTTCTCGAACGCCTGCATATGAATACACAGTAGCGTAGGAAACAAGCAGGAATCCATGCATGGTTGCAGAGCTGTGATCTCACTTGGATTAGAGAGACATGGTTGGCATGACTGGCGTGCTGGAATGGGTGTATAGAGGCCCTTTTAGAAGGGCAAGCTGGGAAGATGAGGAGGAATGGTACTCTATGCAAAGGAGTGGCTTGAATGCATGGAGTTTTGCTTTGAAATGAGTAAGAAGCCAGTTAAGAGCTTATGGGTAAGGTCCAGAGGTCAGATCAGTATGGATTACATCCTGGTGGATGTCTGCTACAGACTGCCAGAGGGAGTAGATGGAGCCTTTTTTAGAGGGCTAGGGAAGACCCATAGGGTCAGACTGTTTAATGTCTCTTTTAACAACTTGGACTATGCAGTGAAGTGCAATCTTTGTCAGATTGCAGATGGTCTCAGATGGGCAGGGGGGAGCTGGAGAGCAGAGCTGCTGTTCAGAGGGATTTAACGGGTGACGAAATGTGCTGGCATGAACCTCATGAAGTTCACTAAGAGCAGATCCTGCCCTGGGGTGGAGTAATCCCATGGAGCAGTATAGGCTAGCACCAAGAGGCCTCCAGAGGTCCCTTCCAACCTAAATTATTTTATGATGCCGTGACCTTGAGCATTGCTTTGGAAAGTTGCTTTCAGCTAAAGAGGAAGCTGCTGTATGAATTGTTTAGACAGAAGTTTTGCAGGATTTGCAATATTTTTTAGTTCTCTGGTGTACCTGGCTGTCTGTCATGTATATTTATCTAAGTAGGACTCTTTTAATAAATTTGGCATTAAAAAGCTATGGCTCTGAAGCCACCGAATCAAGTGACTAAACATATTTTAAGGACTAGAATTAGATTTCCCAGTTGTGCATATTAGCTGTGTTTTAGTTGTGTCATGGAGATAATTTTTTCTCCATACTGTATAAATACCTTTTCACCTAGACAGGCCTTAGCAGTGAATAAGATCTCTTCACTCTCCATGTTTGTAACTTTTTTTTTTCTCCTTTAGAATATCTTCTTGCATGTTGTGGATATATCTAATCCCAAGGAAATCTGGATGTTTGCTGAAAAATTCAAAAATGAATATAGATTGAATGTGTTGGTAAGTTTGCATACTTAAATCATGTGTCTGTCTTTGGAGTGTGTAGCCTCTGAACCTGTCCAGTGGGTAATCTAAGATGTTACAATTTGACTAGCAGTTCTCTGCTTTATTTTCTCTAGACATTGCTGCAGTAGTCTCTGTAATCTGTTTACCCTTTTCTATCCTCAGTTGACATAATACAGACACGACATTTAAAAAAAGAGAGAAATGCAGTAATTTTTAGCTACATCTTTTGAGGTTCTCACCATGCAAACCTTGTGGCCTTCAGGTTGCGTAAGAGGCTATGCATGTTACGCTAAATAGAATATGACAGGGACTGATGCCTCCTCCCACGGCCAGATTACACTTGCTTCGAGCTAGTCCCTCTTAAAGATTAAACTTTTATAGGAAGTCTAGTTAGAGCAGTCTAAAACAAAGCCAGGGAGGGAGCTAAGAGTTAAACAGCATGGATCATAAGGGGCTCAGTACTCCCTCCACTTTATTTAGCAGTGCTAATTTGCTCTGGGATCTGTACTAAAACCAAGGCACCTGGAGCAGCCGTTTTGGTGCTTACCACATAGCACAAATGATGTGGGGCCAGTGTGATCCCTCAGGTGAGACTAACAAACTGCACTGTTTATTTATGTTCCAATAGCTGCTTTATAACTTGCATATTATTTTCTGTGAGAAAATAGTTTTAAAACGTGGAGTAAGGCACTACAAGTACAGTTGACTCTTAGTGTAATACTGTGTATTATTTTTCTGAGGATTCATTTTTCTGAGGATCTTTTCTTTTGGGAAAAAACTTTATGATCAGTGAGAGAGTGGTGTGACTTGGGATAGCATCGTTGTTACAGTGTCAGAAAACAACAGACTAACATGGACTGCTTGTATGTGTGGTTTTGTTTGTAGATATTTGTGTAAATCAGTCTTGTTTACAGGAGTTGTCTTACAGATCAACAACGCAGGATGTATGGTGAATAACAGAGAATTAACTGAAGATGGACTTGAAAAAAACTTTGCAACAAACACTTTGGGTGAGTATTGAAGGCTTAGTTCTGAAATACACTTATTTTGGTTTCAGAAGTGTGTTTTTTATGTCTGGGTTCTTGAGGTGTGTGTTCCTGCTCAAGGAGGGGTCATACCATTGCAATGCCAAGGAAGGAGTGGGAAAGAAAAAGATTAAATACTACAGTTTGTTTGGAGTGTGATTTCTTAATTTATCCATTTTTCAGTTGTTGTCATATCATTATGTTGTCATATCATAATCATTTATTTATCATAGTAGCACTGGACAAATATAGAGAAGGTTTAATTAAATTGATTCTGAAATTTGCTAGGAAACTTTGTTTCAAAGCAGTGCTGCTAATGATACTCTGTAATAATTGTACTTCTGCAGCTTGTATAGATCTTGGGAGCATGTTCAGACATTTAAAAAGTCATTCAGATGTTTCGGTGGGCTTGAACAGCCCTGTTTGGTATGATGGAGGCACTGGGTAGGAGTGCCTTATATAGTGCCCTGGACATTTAAACAGATGCAACATCTGGGCAAGTGACTGAGCAGCACTGGGTAGGTCTTAGGCACTCCACATATGAGGAGTGTATTCCATGAACTGTGTGGTAGAGGTATGAAAGAGACAAATTAAGGGAAGCAAATAAAGGGGGAGAGGGGAGGTGTGGATGAGCAGGGAAGATGGTGAGCCAGATGGAAGGTTCCCACATAAAAGTAATGGGAAAGATGTTGGCCAACAGGCAGCCAGCAGAGAGAAGAGCTGTGTGCCACCACAGATGTCTGTAGGGCTGAAAGCTGCACCTCCTGCAAAGAGAGATGTAGTGCTTGCACCAGTGAGCAGTCCTGTCACTCTTTACCCTTTGCCTCCATAAAGAATAGGTGGATTTCCCATGACACTGCCTTTAATATATTCAGAAATTTTAATATATTCAGAAATTAAGGAAAAGCTGTGGTACTTTGTTTCTCTGCTTTGCTCTTCCTCGTCAGTATCTTGGATGAGGAAGAGGAATGCTTTGACTATAAAGATCAGGCATTTTTAGAACTAGGTATAGCCTGGCAACCATTGTTGGTTTTTTATTCTTACTCTTTTTCCTGTGTTGCTTCCTTCACTCCTATTTACTTTTAAAAACTAACTTTTGAGGACTAAATGTCTTGTGCTTAGCTAATGTGGTGCATACAGTTTGTTTTTTCTGCAAGTCTGACTGTGTTAAACCAACAATTCAAGTATAAAGGCACAGATTAATTTCTTCAAATTAATCTGCTAACATTCTTCTATTTCTTGTGGTTAAAATTAATTTTATTTTGCCGTTGAATTTCCCCTGGCTGCAGAAGTACAAGAACCTCTACCTTGAGAAATTTATTCACCTTAAATTAGTTTAAACCTCTTGTGGTCTTTCAAACAAAAATCTACCCATGAGGAAGGGTGCAGCTCTTCCACAGAGCGGCAGAGTGAAACACAGTCTGAACATCAAAGCATGTTTTGGTTTAGTTTTAAACATTGAGGAAGTTAATTGCTGAGGAACTGTATTAGTGTATCACCTGGGTTAGATTGTATGACACAAGTAAAAGCAACAAGTTCTGCTTTCCCAGTTGTAAATCAGCCTCACTTGAGATAACGCAACTGCACATATGTGGTAGAGGAAACTGAATGATGATTGTAGCAAACTAGGAAAACGCCTGTATTATCTCTTATGAATGTTATATATGTAGGTCTCCTTTATTCATTTGAGTATCACTTGGTGCATGACTGTTTAAGAAGGTCAAGGAGGTGATTGCACATTTGAGCAGATACGGTAAAGCAGGTAAGTCATCCTCTGTTGACCAACTTCTGCAGAGTTTAAACAACGACTGGGGGTTTGTTTAGGCTGGTTCTCTCTTGGTGACACTAAGGATTACATTTTGAATCTTTTGAAGGATGGAAGAGGCTGTGCAAGAGAAAGCTGCTGTGCTTGCAAGTCAGACACACATGTTAGACCAATGCTACCAAGTTTTTTCCTTCAGAGTCAGAAGTGGAGCCATGACCGTTGGAGTCAGTAGGAGAAAACTGGATGAAGAACTGCATGTCAAAGTAGATGCTGTGTTAAGGCATTTCCCTAAGCACTAGCTACCTTTGAGCATGCTTTACTTTAGAAATGTTATTTCTGTTATAGGTTTGCAGAGAAAACGTGGGCTAAATCAGACGTGGCTGGTATATAGGTTGGTTCTAAACTAAAATGTGGTCTGAAAGAACAAACTGAATTCCCCTCCCTGCCTTTTTCCCCAGAAAAGCTAAACCTCTGAATGGGCTCAGGGCCCCTGTTTTGAAAATCTGCAGTTGTTCTCCTCTTCAGCAGCATGGAAACAGTAACTCATGACTGCCTGATGTCTGCAGAAATAAGATGGAATATATTAATTTTCTTTTCAGATCTTCACATGCGCGACGTTCCTTCCATCTTTATTTTACTGTTTCTACCCTGGATCTTAGCTTTGGTCTAGAAAAGGAGCGTGTAGGTTGTAACTGTCTAAGAAGGCGAGACTCTGAACTATAACATGCTTTAAATGCAGAGCAGAGTCTTTGAATTCTGTATCCGATATCTGATTAACATTTACACAAGCTGTAGAATTGCTTATTGTGTCTAAAATGCTGTGGAGCTTTTAAATCCAGGCTATGAATATTTTCCTCTTAACTGACTTGTTAGTCCGTTTTGGATATTTTGCATAATGGATGTTAGAGTTCAGTTCTGATTGATAGTCTGACTTGTAAAACATGCATTATATTCTGGTTAGTGGTTGGACTCAAGTGTTTTCCAACCTAAGTGATGCTATGGTTCTGTTCTACGATTCTGTGATCTTTTCTTGGACATATATGGGGCAAAAGTGAATGCATAAGTCCTCTGGTAGATAAGATGAATATGTACAAAAATAATATTAGTTAGAACAGAAGGTAAACCTCCCTTGATGTGAAATCTCACTGACTGGCTCACTGAGATAGGAGTGCAGAATATACAGGTGGGTGAAGGTCATGAAAATGCACAATGCAGGTTGGAAGTTCAGGCTTTGTCTGGTTTGTTTAGTGTTCAAGTTCAAACTGTGAACTGCTTTGAGCAGGCAGTGGCAGCCACAACTGTGCTGGTGCCTGACATCCTTAAAATGGGGCTCAGGCACAAACACCACATGGCTTGTTGTAGTTCTGCTGTTGCTGTCACATGAAATATCGTATCTTTTTGCTAGATCCCCAAGGATTATTGCTGATAATTGCTGGAGCTCAGTGGAGGTGTAGAGAGCTGAATAGCTGTGGAGCACTTAGTCATGTGGGAGCCAGACGTGAGTCTGAAATGGCACATTGCTGACTGAATCACACTTCCAGTATGAAATTGAGTGAATGGCTTGGGGTAATGTGGGCAGATTTCTTGGGCAGCTGCCAATCCTGATAGGCAGATTTTATTTGTGTACCCTTATTTTGTTTGTTGCTGCCCTTATGTTTCCTCCTGTAGGTTGGCCTTGTATTCAGGATTGTACCCAAGAGCTGGGCAGCGACAAGCAATCATTTCTTCTGATGAGACTAGCAAACTTCTGAGTCAACATTTTTTAAAATCTGATTTAATTTCACTTGTTTTAGTAAAACTCCCAACAAAGACTGTTCAAACTGGCAGTATTCAGTCATTTTGGGAAAAAAAACCCTCAGTATTGGTAGGCAAGTGGAAGCAATAGCAGCATGTTCTTATTGAGTCACTAGAAATTTAGCTGAAACAATCCTCATTCCTCAGTTTTATAGCCTGCCTCACTTTACTGTTACTCAACACATCTTCTTGCTTGACATGGAAAAATGGCATATATGTTACATTTTTATTGCTGCTTACCATCCAAGGGGATGCTAAAGCACACTCAGAGATGAATAAATGATGCTTCCAGTATGCATCGTTTCTTTGGTCTAATGTGCTCTCATGTTTTAATAATACAGCCATATACATTTACTCTCTGTGCAAGAAGGGATAGGGCCAGAGGAAATAAGATACTTGTCTACCACAGTAGCAGTACGGTGCATCTATGGCACATTGCCTAACCCGTGTGAATATTTGTCAGAACTTCCCTACACATAAACTGTATCTAACTGGTATTTCACACAAGCCAGCGTTGCCTGGTGGACTGCATTCTGAGCAGTCAGGCAGCTTGGATACCTGCTGTCAGCCTGCAATAATGTCAGTGCCTGGTCTTCAGCAAGACAGCTTTACCTGTGAAAAGGAGACTGTGACATTAATTTTCTCTCTAAAGAATTTTGAGACTTAGGGATGAGAGGTGCTATGAGAGAGGATGAGGTTGAGTATAGCTGCACATCCACTGGCTATGCTGAAGCCTGGTTCCTAGGACACAGAGGAGCACTTACTGAGCTGAGCTTTGTAACTCGGGGGAAATGTAAACCTTTGTTTTGGCTTTTATGTTCATTACCTCTTCCCATGCACTTGCAGTTACCACTGTGGGGGAATTGGCCCTCGGAGGCAGCACACTAAAATCTTCATTCTTGATCTTATGCTCAGGAAACAGACTCAGGGATGTCTCATCCTTGGAACTGCATAAATTGAAGACTTGAAAAGATAACCAGGTCAAGGGAGAATGTCAGTTTGTTCTGATTTTTAAAGAGTGGACGTAAGAAAGGCAAGCCAATTTAACTGATTTTTACCAGATGAATGAGCCATTGAAATCTGTACAATAAAACTTTTTTTGTTGTTCCCACTTTTTTCACAGTTGAAATAACACTGTTCCTAATAATACTGCGAAGCTTAGGCAGATGGAAGACTTCTCTGAGTGTGGTGCTGGCTGCCTGCCCTTATCTGAATGTTAGCAGATTAAAAACCTCACTAACAATTTACCACTAATTGCCAGATAGAACATCAAGCAAAAACTATTCTACAATCCACCATGACACTCGGGTCTGTGATAATTACATCATCAATTAATTTGATGTTATAAGCAGGTAGTGGCTTTACAATATTACTTCTGCCGAAACCATGATTTTCTTTATAAATCAGTTTTAAAGTACAGGTTTTGTGGTCATTTTAAGTCTGTAAAGAAGATAGGAGTATGTGTTCATGTACTGTTATTATAAGTGATATCCTGTTGCTTTCCAGGTCTGAAGTATATGAATCCTAAGGAGTCTTCCAGATTTTAGCAGGCTAAAGCCGAGTTACACCACCAGCATTTTGGAAATCTGCCTTTGTAGTGTTCATATTTTCTGTTAGGGCTGTTCTGTGTTTTGCTTTGTTTCACTTTCTATTACAGAAAGGTTTGTAGCCAGCGTCTAACACACTGTAGGCTTCTGTCCCTTGCACAGGGATAGCTTTCACTGTGGTTGTGCTGTGGTAGAGATGGTGAGATCCTCGATGAACCAACTGATGTGAGAGCGTGCAGAGGTACCTTCCCACAAGAATAACAGCAGTGTTTTCCATAGAGTCCCCTCAGCTCCAACTGAAGGTCATGCAAAGGGTAGCCTAATTTTATTGAGGAGTTTATGAAGCAGGCAGGCCAATTTTTGTAGTAGTTTTTTAAACAATTTAGTGTACAAGTAGAATGTTTATCTCCCAAACAGCTCCTCATTTTCCGCACTTGCATCATTAAAGTTTCACTCTGTGGTTGTGCAGCAGTGAATTACTGCTCAGAGAGCTGACAGAGGAGTTCACCGTATGGAGTTAAAAATGGGAGTTGTTACTCAGATCCCCATATCGGATTACTCAACTAAATTGAGAAGACCTCAGAACAAGTGGTGCAATTGCACAACAGTGTAATCCACAAGGGAATGCATGGTGATTCAATCTGATATTTTTTTTTTTTAGCAAATAAACATGAAACTTAAATAAACATCAATGGGATCAGCACTAGGGAGGGAGTGTGTATGAGCAAAGTGTGTTCTCATTGAGTGCCATGCTCACTGCTTTTACTGGAATTACCATGTGTAATGCACAGACTGACAACCCACACTCTCTGCTCTGCCATATGATGGAGTTGGTTCAATAGTGTGTAGTGGGGGAGGAGCGGTACCCTTATAGGAAGGTTTTAATTACACTGTATTATACATAATTTCCCATTATGTGAGCCCAGCTTCAAGACATAAAACTTACAGGAATTTTTCCAAAGAAAAGCAAATGTTGAGAGGATGTTTATCATTAAAAGAAATTGTGCCTCAATCCCAGGAGCCTCTTTAACTGGAGGAAAACGTGGCCACCAAGCACCGTGTCAGACCTTGTTATGTGGTTGTAGCTTATTCCTTAGGTTTCTCTTGTCAACTCTTCACCTCAACAGAGTTCAGTGAGGGCAAGATGAAATCCTGTGTGTGGGAGTGTTGGACTGGATGCTTACTTACCCCCTTCTGTGCTCCTGTTGCCTCTGAGCAAGCCCCCACATTCA